TATATATATATATATATATATATATATATATATATATATTATATATATATATATATATATATATATATATATATATATATATATATATATATATATATATATATATATATATATATATATATATATATATATATATATATATATATATATATATATATATATATATATATATATATATATATATATATATATATATATATATATATATATATATATATATATATATATATATATATATATATATATATATATATATATATATATATATATATATATATATATATATATATATATATATATATATATATATATATATATATATATATATATATATATATATATATATATATATATATATATATATATATATATATATATATATATATATATATATATATATATATATATATATATATATATATATATATATATATATATATATATATATATATATATATATATATATATATATATATATATATATATATATATATATATATATATATATATATATCAAAGCTGATTCCCATCTAGAAAGCACACTCATGTGTTGAGGTTTTCCAATCTGTTCTAAAAGAGGGCTCTTGAGGTTTTTGAAAGAAACAGTGAGCTTATTAAATAACTCCATTACCAATTTGTCTAGATAAGGTTGTGCAATACAGTCATTATTGTACTATACACAGTGTGTTTTACAACAAACTACTCTATAAACTGCTCTGGTTACCAAAGTAACCCTCGTTCCCCGAGGAGGGGAACGGAAATGCAATATGTGGATTTAAATCCACGAATGGGGATTTTGTTTCAGAAAGCCAATTGTCTGAACGAGTATAAAACGGGCCAATGAAATGCCAAATGAGTTGGCAGCGTAAGCTTGCGCACGTGTGCCTTATTGCCAATTAGCTCCACATATAAGCACAGGGTAAGCAAGGAAATGCCATACTTTTAAGCTGAAGAGACTCACACTTACAGCTTAAGAACAATCATTATGGCGATGCTATATAGTATTTGGGTTACTTTAGTAACCAAAGCGTTCCTCTTCGGATGGGGAACTTCAATGCTATAAGTGGATTTTAATCCATGAATGGGGAAATGTCTGGAAAATGCCATAATGACTGCACCTACTTTCACCTCCGATGAGAGGATAGCCAGGCATAGCGTGAGCGATCCTGCATCAAAGAGAGGCGCGGTCTTCCAACGTGATCCCTGGCCCTTACTTATCCCACTTCAAAGAAGTTTTACGGATTTAAATATATTTTTTTGGGAGTCACAAGCATCTAAATAATTCTAGGAAAATACGACAGTATGTTGGGAAAGCATGCAGTCCCGATAGGGAGGACGCTGCGGAGACCTCCTGCTACCCAATGGGGAGATATGATGTCAAAATATTATTAGCGGAGAGGGAAGACACGGGTCCGCCCGCGACGGGGGACTGCACCGTGGCTGAATAAGCATATGGGATCGCCTAGTGGGGATCATGCATAGCGGGCACCTATACCCAAAACGCGGGCTGACCAGCGGGCAGACCTACAACATAATGGGCCAGCGAGTGACTCCTCCACTTAGTCAATGCTGGGGGCCTCAGAGGAATCTGCAGGGCTCACCTAACGGGAAATTTTACTGACAGATGAAAAAGCGCACGTATCTCCGTGTTAGGGAGAATGGTGCAGCAAGTGTGTTTCAACACCTTAACCGAGTTGTTTCCTCAATCACCAAGGGTTACCTAATACCCTTGAGGAAACCGGCTCCACTCGCAGATTGTAAAACCTTGCAAATGTATTAGGTGTCGCCCAGCCCGCAGCTCTAAAGATGTCTGTTAGAGAGGCACCGCGTGCACGTGCCCAAGAGGATGCGATGCTCCGAGTGGAGTGAGCACACACTCTCGGGGGACCCGGCTCGCCCTGGCTCTGGTAAGCGAGGGAGATGGCATCCACTATCCAGTGGGCCAACCTCTGTTTCGATAAGGCACTTCCCTGCTGCCGACCACCATAGCAGATAAAGAGCTGCTCAGATGATCTAAAGCTCTGAGTGGGGTCCAGATAAATACGCAAAGCGCAAACTGGAAAAGGTAAGAAAAGGGCTGGGTCTGCCTCCTCCAGGGGCAGCGCTTGCAGGCTCACTACCTGATCTTTAAAAGGTGTGGTAAGAACCTTGGGCACATATCCCGGGTGGGGTCTCGGGAACGTGAGAGTAAGCCAGCCCGAATTACAGGCACGAGTCACTCACTGAAAAATGCCTCCAGGTCCCCGACTCTCTAAATCGATATCAACGCGACCAGCAAAGCTGTCTTTAGGGACAGAAATCTTGAAGATACTGAGTCGAGGATCGAAGGGATCTGACGCAGGCTCGTGAGAATGAGGGCGAGATCCTAAGAGGGCATAAGAGGGAGGCGGGGTGGATTATTAGAGAGTAAGTCCTCTCTCAAAAGGATCTGCCAGCGGAGGGCCATCGCGAGGAGGGAGAGCTCTGACATTTAGGTCCGGTTGGGCCAGAGAGGCGCAACCAGCAAAACCTGTTCCTCGTCCTCCCTGACCTTGCACAGTAACTGCGCGAGCAGGCTCACTGGGGGAAACACATATTTGCGCATGCCCCGAGGCCAGCTGTGGGCCAGTGCATTCGTGCCGAGAGAGCCCTCGATCAGGGAAAAGAACAGCTGGCAATGAGCATTCTCGGGAAAGCAAACAGATCGATCTGGGTTTCCCCGAATCGCGCCCATATCAGCTGAAGAGACTCGGGGTGGAGTCTTCATTCTCTGGGACATAAAGGCTGCCGTGAGAGCGCATCGGCTGCACGGTTGAGCTTGCCTGGAATGTGAATGGCACGCAGCGATTTTAGCCGGAGATGACTCCAGAGGAGCAGACAGCAGGCGAGCTGAGACATGGGGCAAGAAGGAATACCCCCCATGCGGTTGATATATGCTACTGCCACCGTGCTGTCCGTCCTGACCAGCACGTGCTGCTGCTCCAGCACCGGATAAAACGGTGGAGAGCGAGGAACACTGCGAACAGTTCCAGGCGATTGATGTGCCAATGCAACTGGGTTCCTTTCCACAGGCCCGCAGCTGCATGCCCACAGCACACAGCCCCCCAACCCATGCTGGAAGCATCTGTTGAAACAACATGACTTGGACGCCTGTCCTAGAGGCACTCCGGCCTGTAGGAACGAGGGGTCGTTCCAAGGGCTGAGGGCGCGGCGACACAGCGTAGTAACAGTGACATGTGGTCTCATATGGAGTAATCCGAGCGGCGTGACAGCTGATTCACATTATAGTGGTTATGCACTTATAGCCATTGGATGTTTTTGTTTCCCTGTATTATCCCTTCCTCCTTCAACTTTCCTCATTAAGAGTCTTGAATAAATTAGAGACAACCCACTCTCTTATTTATTTTGTTTAGTTGTACGTCAACTATCAATTTTGTACTCGTAGCAAGACGTTAAAGAGCATATTGTAGGTTAGACACCCCAGTGAGACAATGTGTGTAAGAGTAAAGTAAGAATTAGATTTTCTTTAAAATATACGTTAAAGTTTATTATTAAGCCGTTTGGAGTCGTTTTTAGTCATGGAAATTTACTTCCACGTTTGAATCGCCAGACCGGAAGTGATGTCGGATCAGGGAGTTTGCGTATATAAACACTATGAAGACAACTGATCGTGGTGCGCGTTTGGTTGCCGAGATAAGATATTCTGAAAGACTCACACAAACAACAGACCACAGCCATACAATTATAAGCCTGTGGATAGACCAGCAGACAGAACAGCAGTCAGAGAAGTGTAATTTAACTCTATTCTGAGGGAGAACAGAGCTGGTTTATGGTGAGACCAATGGTGGCTTACAGAGAGATATGTAAGATAACAAAATCTTATCTGGCAACAGCAAAGCTAGCATTGATCATCTATAAGTATTAATACTTACCAGTAACAGAAACTAATGAGCATTTAATTGACACTATTTTTAATAGTAGATAAGTGAATACAAAAC